AAAAAAAAAAAATAGAGGGAATTTTAAATATTAAGTTGGTGCAAAAGCAATGGCAATTTTTGCATTGTTGAAATTTGCCATTTAAAGCCAAAAAAGACCAAAGAAATTGTCATTTGATACTGGAATGCATTTTTAAATATACATTATCATGTTACACATCCTTTTAATGCATGCTTCTCACTTTATGGGGGGTTTTTTTGCTGATGATTTATTGCTATTTATTTATAGTATGGAAATGATGTTAGACAAAACAAATTTGAATGATTTCTTATTCAAGTTCAAAATGGGTTGTAAAGTAGTGGAGACAATGTACGACATCAATATATTTGCCCTCAGGAAGTACTAATGAAAGTACAGTGCACTGATGGTTCAAGAAGTTTTGCAAAGGAGATGAGAGCCTTGAAGATGCGCGTGATGGCCAGCCATTAGAAATTGTGAATGGGGATGTGGTGCTGAGAGACAGCTCCGTGGTTAAGAGCACTGGCTGCTCTTGCAGAGGACCCAGGTTTGATTCCCAGCACACACATGGTGGTTAACAACCATTCATAAGTCCACTTCGAGGGGATCTGATACCCTCTTCTGACCTCCGTGGGCACTGCATGACATGGGCAAACTTACATACATGTAGGCAATATACTCATACACATAAAATAAAAATAATAAATAAAATACTTTTAAAAATAAAAGTAAAAATTTAAAAAGAATTTTAATAGGGGAATGAAAGTAATTAGAGCCTGGTAGACTACTGCAAGGATTTGGACTTTATTCTTTAGAGACATGGGGAACAAATGGAGGGTTTTGTGGAGAGAATGGATATGACATGACTTGGTCTCATCAAGATTGATCTGACTTCTTTGTGAATAATATGCCACAATAGGCAAGGGTGGAGGCCATGAGACTAGTCAGGAGACTGCTGAACTGGTCTAGATGAACAGGTGACTGTGGTTTGGACTTGAGTAGTAAGACTAGACATGACAGGATTTACTGATAGACTGGATATGAAGTGTGGTTCCAAAGATGTTTTTTACCCAAGGAAACTGGGAAGGTGAAATCGCTATTAACTAAGACAAGGTGTTCATTGGTAGTGGAAAAAGGTGTCATGTTTTCTGTATCCTTAGACTCCAGCACACTGGTTGCTCAGTCAGACCCACCCAGTCACCACTTGTATAACCTTGAACTTCTCTGAGACTAAAGTTTCTTTATCTGCATAATGGAAATAATCATAGTATTTTTTATCAAGGTTTAATGTAGAATTCTCAACATACCCTTTGATACACAGTGACTTCATGTTAATCATTATTACTGAATGAATTAATTAATGGACTATCTTCCTTAAAGACCAAGTCTAGACTAGACTGGTAACCAGGGACCTTAGTTTTTTCTGTGCTTAGCAGTTTGCTAATAGAGCATGAGACTCCTTTCTATATTTTAAAGGGAGCTCAGAGGAAAAAAAGCCCCTATACTTTGTGCCTTCTGAACTGCTCTGATTGAGGAATATGTACTGCTAAGCCTCCAGTGGATGGAGTGGGTGAAATTGTCCTACAATTTTGTCCTTCTTCATCCCCTTTGACTCGTTCCTCCCAGATCCCTCCCTCCTTTACTCTTCTCAGGAAAAATTTTAAAGTATTTTTTTATGAGTATGAGTGTTTTGCCTGCATGTATGTAAGTGCCCTACGTGTGTGCAATACCCGAGGAGGTCAAAAGAGGGAGTCAGATCCCCTAGAACTGGAGTTAAGGACGGTTGTCAGTTGCCATGAGGGTGCTGGGAACCAAACCCAGGTACTATGCAAGAGCAGCCAGTGCTCTTAATCACTGAGCCATCTCTCCAGCCCCACTTTTTTTTCAATTAATTTTTTTTAAAAAAATTAGTGTGTGTGGAGGTCAGAGTACAACTTGCAAGATTCAATTCTCTCCTTCCGGGATGTGGGTTCTGGGGATTGAACTCAGGTTATCAGGTTTAACAGCAAGTGCCTTTACCTGCTGAGCTCTCTCACCAGTCCCTCTTTTTAAAAAATATTTCTTTTTTTATGTGTATGTGTGTGCATTTATGTGAATGTATGCCACCTATGTGTATGTGCCTGTGGAGGCCAGAAGGCTTTGGATCCTCTGGATCTGGAGTTTCAGGCAGTTGTGAGCCACCAGATGAGGTACTGGGAACTGAACTTGAGTCTTTTGGAAGAGCAGCAAGTGTGCTCTTAACCTCTGAGTCATCTCTCCAGCCCCATCCCTCTTTTCACTTTTTAATGAATCTGTGTAAAATCCCTTCAGATTCATAGTGTGTTTCTCCCAGCTCCACAGGCACTTTGACCCTTAGAACAGACCGGGGTCGACAAGCCTGGAAGGAGGTCCTTAACAGAGATGCTTTGACACTTAAGAAAATCTGCTGCTAGGGCTCCAGCCCGAGGCCCCAGGGAGACAAGCGCCCCCTACCGGCATAATGCAGCCCCCACATGCAGGCAGGCGGCTGTGGTTGCTAGGCGACAGGGCCTTCTGTGCTGAGACTAAGAGATGGAGGAGTTGGGGAAGGGATTTATGAGCAGAGGCCACTTTTCTCTCTTTCCACCCTTATTTGCCCTTAGCAAATAAACAGGGGCGTGGCGGCACTGTTCGCTGCTGTCTCATAATCTGAGCTCATTCTTGAAAATAGAGATTTAGCAGGTGACCTCAGTCTTTGTGTGTGGAGAAACAATCTCCCTTGGCCCACACACGGTTTCATCTAGGGGCCAGATAAATAGGTTCCTAAAAGCAGAAGTTTCTGATTTGCAAGGGGTGGAGGACGAAGATAGCTGTGGGTTAGCATTCTTAGCCAACTGGAATTCTAGCAAACTGGGAATGGGTATGGATGCTTTTGGTGATTAGTCCAGTAAGGTGTCAAGATTTGCCCACCATTCACAATGTGTGCCTTAGCAAACTCTTACATTATTAGCCCATTAAAATAAAGACTCCACGGGAATAACAAAATACAAAGGATTATTCACAGCTCAGTGGGGACAAGCTCCTCAGTGACTTTTTGAATCAGGTTTCTCTATGGAGAAATGAGTGACCATGAGGTCTGCAGACCCCTGTGAGTTGGGACAGAACCCACGAAGAGGGAAAGAATTACAACAAATGGTAGCCTGACAGACACAGATGCTATCTGGTGCTGTGTCTGATTTGGAGATCCCTGGCTCTGTGTCTCCTTTGCTAGGATCATGCTGAAGCATCCTCTCTTCATGAGGTCTTTGGGGACCAGAAATCTACAGGCTTCCCTTCCAGAAAGCTTGCATTCTATGCATACCAGGAGAAGGCCCAGGCAGGCCAAAGCTGTAGCCACTATAGATAGCCTCTCCAATGGGACTCATCTCTGCCCTCTCAGCTAGTACAATAGATGCTTCCTTGCAGTAGAGTCCTAAGCCATGGCCAGCTTAGGGAAGAGCTGTGCCCAAGAGTGTCTTTGTAGGCTTTCCCTTTCATGATACCACATTGAGGTACCTGACAGCCAGACAGCATCTGTCTCAGTCGCTGTCTGAATCCACAGCAGCTCTACAAGGCAGGATGGCAGGGGGAGGCTAATTGCTCCCCACGTTTCCAAACTGAACTGGGTCGGGCCTGTGCCTTGACTCTATTAATAGCCCCCTAACCCAGCCTGCTAGCCCCAAACCCGAATGCCAGGAGCTGTGAGTCAGCAGCTAAAAATAAAGAGCAACTGCATCCGAACCCCAATGAGCAGCTCCCTTTGGCCTTCCACCCTCAGATTTTTGTCAGTCCTCATCTCCAGTCCAGGGCCTCACAGTTGTCCAGTGCCCCTGGGGAGAGGAAGGGTTTGCGGCGGCAGGCTCGAGACTAGGACCCAAGGCTAGGACCCAAGGCTAAGAGCTAGAAGCGCGGTCTGAGTCGGTGTTGGCACTCTGGACGTTGAGGTTAGAGGACTGCAGCTGGCAGCCTAGGAATTGCGAGGTTAGAGCCGCGGGGCTGGAAGTTGACTGGGTGAGGTCCGAAGGAGAGAGGAGGAAGAAACTGCTAGGGCAGCAAGTCTGGGCGACTAACAAGGGCAGAAAAAAAAAAGGATGGGTGGAAGGAGATACATGCCTAGAGGTGACAGCCCGGCAGTACCTGCTGGGGGCTCCAGAGCTGAAGTCGATAGTCGGCCCGAATGAGGAGCAAGATCGTGAACAGGGAAAAGTAAGGAAATGCAGCGTGAAAGGCAGCATGTGAAGGAGGTCTACCCAATTCTAGGCGAGGCCCTAGGGCAGCAGCACAGCGCTGGCTCCCTGTGCACTTCCAGCCTCCCACCCGTCTGTCTCCAGCCCCCAGCGGCTGCTCCCACCAGGTATGTCGGCGTGAAGGGCTGTCCCCTCCAGTGTGTGTGTGTGCGCACGTGCGTGTGTGTGTGCATGCGTGTGTAAGCGTGTGCATGGAGGGGGCGGGACAACGAGGGGAAGGGGCGGGGCCCGCGATGACGGGGAGGTGGAGCCACAAATTCAAACTCTCCTCCCTCCACTGGAGACCGGAAGTGCCCACAGGCATACTGGGAATTGTAGTTTCAGTGGCTGCGGGTCACCGAGAAGGGAGGGTCTTGTCCCGAGGTGCTAATGCTGCCCCAGGTCCGCATCTGGCCGGAGGGAAGGAATCGAGAGCCGTTTCCTGTCCAGAACGACAACTTAATTCGACTGGCCTTTGTGTGGAGTCAGGAATCAGGACGAACGGTGGTGTAGTGGAGGATTGCAGGGTCAGCCGCCGAACCCCTACTTGTCCGTTTTTGTCTTAGCTTCCCACCCGCTGTCTACATGAGTGGTCATTCCCAGGCCAGCTGTGCACTGGCCACCTTCTTAGCACAGAGACTCACAAGCAGCAAGCACAAAGGAACTTGCTCCTCGAGGGGAAGGCTGGCCTGGAAGCAGACTCTGCACGGAACCCAGAGAATTAAATAAATGGAAAAGCCACACCGTGCCCTCAGAGTCTGGAGTCAAGGACGCAAGTCTCCGAACCTGCACAGAAAACAGGTGGCATTCATCAAATACGTCACTGTGATGACTGACATTGCCCTCTTGGGGTGAATGACCACAAGGTGGAGCTACAACGCAAGCCAGCATGACGCGCCAGGGCCGCCAGGAGTGCTGCCGCTCGGTTTCTGCTTGCCCTGGGGTAGTACTCCCATCGTCCGCCTGCTAATCTCCCCATTGGTGACCTTTCAATGTCATGTTACTTCCAACTGTAGATGGAATAGCTTCTTTCCAGCCCCTGCACCAAAATCATTAGACTGTGACTCAATGACAATTAAATTCACTGAATAACAGATTAACAAGCAAGATAGAGGAACCATTCACTTCTCACAATAAAAGCCACCCTTAGGCACAGAATTACATAGCTAAATAGGCTCTTTAGATCCCAACCTGTACACAAGAAAGCAGCTAACTTGCAAGAGTGGAGATAAAAAGGGTATGGAGTGTCGTCCATCCAGAAAAGTCCATTTTGCCATTTTTTTTCAGTCACAAAGCTACCCACCCTGACACACCCTGTGCCTTCTACCCAAGTACAAGTGCACACAAGCCTGAGGCATTATCTTGGTAATCTCTTTCGACTTTCTCATTCTAATTTCAATTTGAAATTCCTGACACTCACTGTCTTCCCAACTACTTCATGTCAAAATGCCAAAGGTAGCAAATTCCATGGCAGCTTGAGACATGCCCACCATCTGAACAGAGAGCCCTCTTGGGTCAAAACCTCCTGTTCGAAAAGCTTCCCTCTTCCAAACTCGTTAACCCAGGATATTCCACTTCAGCTCCTTTCCTTCCCTTTGACTGCAGCTGGTGAGGGCCAGGGCAGGGCATTCACTCTGTGGTGAAATTGTTGATCTTGGTCAGCAGCACAGCTGTTTCTCTGCCTGGGGAGGTGGGGAGAGGTGGGTCATGTAGGGAGTTAACCAAGGGGAAAATAGGAGAAAAAGAGAAGGGAAGGCGCTTCATTCTTACCAGTTTTCTCTCTCTCAGCACGTCTCCTATAAAGAGAAAAGCCTTTCCATTGTGAGTTCAGCCAGCCCATAGCAAGACTTTCAACCCAGGGGATCCCCAAACTGTTTTCCCAAGGATCAAACCAATTTGGTGGTATAAGGAAGGCCCAAGAATTGAAACGGACCAATCCCTAATTCAAGGCCGCATATATGAGTTAGAATCAGCCTCATAGGACCAGGGACCTGGGGGGAAGTGAGGACCCAGAAAGCTGAGGCACAGCACTCACCTTTGGAGGAGGAAGGCCCACAAAAGCAGCAGGATGGATACAGAATTGGTAATGATACATATCATTAAATATGTTCGAGGAGGCTATGGGAATAGGAAAAGGGCCATCAGTGGGCAGAGTCCCAAGGGTAGCATATGGTGGAAAGTAAGTATGGAAGAGGACAGGTTGAAGGAGAATCAGAGAAGGGAAAAGAGAAGCAATGGCAGTTTCAGAGCCCTTACAATGAGCCAGGTGGGGTGATGTATCTGCTGCAGCAGCTGGCAGTCATTGGTGGTGACTGAATCCACCCCTGCACACCAGAGCAGGGAGAAGAGCCAGGCCTTGTTCACTACAAATAGGTTCACTGAGACGTTATCCTGGTGCAATGCTCTGTGGAAGTGGGGAAGAAACAGGGAACATGTAGAATTTGGTGCAGGAGGCATGGAGGCAGCTTGTGCCTGTGCTTGAAGGACAGCGTTATTGCCACAGGATATCAGTTCTAACTTTGCATGGCAGCCCTTGACCAAAGGTGATTTTCTTCGCATATCTGAACTTTGTCTCCTGGTAGATTCCCTCTATAAGCCCTATCTCTGTATCCTGGAACAACACAAATATGCGTCTCCCTTTTGTCTCATATAGCAGCCCTTTGGATGTCTGAGGAACAGAAGCCACATCTCTCTGAGGGATTTCTTCTCTAGGCCCGTCAACCCCAGCTTATCCAACCATTACTCTTGGGTTTTATTTCCTTCATTATACAATGTTTTCTAATCTGATCTGAATGCAATGGACCAATGCTACTTTGAAAATATGGGGCCTGCCTTTTGAACACTGATATCTCAGATAAGCTTGGAGCAGCTTTGAGCAGAGTCAAACAATCTCTTCCTGTTTCTGAACACTAGTGCTGCATGAGGGCAGCCCAGAGTCGGTTTAGTGTCTGACAATGTCTTCTTGCACTATTGAGTCATTATGCCCCATTGTTTAATCAAAGCCTTGACCTTTTCTAGGCCTGTTTCTGCTGAGGCCAGTGTCTCTGCTCTTATGTTTTTTTTTTTTCTGTCTTTTTGAGACAGTGTCTCCCTCTAGCCCCAGCTGGCCTGGAACTTGGTATGTAGACCAGGCTGGCCTCAAATTCACAGAGATCTGCTTGCCTCTGCCTCCCAAGTGCTGGGATTAAAGGTATGTGCCACCACCCCGGCTTCCTTTCTTATGTTAATACAATTGAAACTCTTCTATTTTTTTAGACATGGTCTCACTATGCAGTCCATGCTGGCCTCAAATGTGCAATTCTCCTGCTTCAGTCTCCCATGTGCTGGGATTACAGGCATGTGCCACCATAGCCAACTGTAATTGAAAGTTTTTTAGCTTCAAATATAGGTTTGCATCTATTCCTGTTGCATTTCATCTGTCTAGATATGGCCCATTGTTTTAAAACACTTAAGGCTTCTAGGGTTTTGATTCCATTATCAGTTCATGTCTTTTGGAAACATGATCAGTAGTCAATGTAGACCAGACCAAGACCAAAGCAATAGCTTCTATGTTGTGTCTCCCTCTATGATGACAACTTAGAGAAATACTTAGGTTCACTTAGTGAAATATTAGGTTCACTTAGTGAAATACTTGAAATACTTAACTGAGCTGCCACTCAGTTCACTTTTCTGTCTGACCCCAGGAACACTGTAAAAGACCTTAGCAATAACATGCTTGGAAAGCAGTCTTGTTTCCTGCTCACATCTGGGACTCTCTCCTCTGGATCCATTCTCTCTTATACTGATCTCTGTGATGCAGAATAATGCTAAAATCCTTCCCATGCCTACAAGGTCTTTTCCAGTTTGGTCTCTGCTTATTTCTTTAGCCTCACTTTCCTCTCTCTTGCTCATTATGCCATCCCTGCTCTTCTGCTGCTCTTCCCGTTAGCAACTTTTAATTCTCTGACACTCAGCTCAAGACATCATCTATTTAGATGCTTCCTAATGTGGCTGCCCTAGCCCCTTACTCCAAACCCCAATCAGTACTGCATTATGTTTTGATATGCATATCTAATGTACATGTATCTTAGGTGATTATTTATATCTTTCACTAGTTCCTAAATTCCATGAAAGCTGGAATTTTATCAGTATTTATTGTAGCTTACAATAAACACTACCTGATACTGTAGCAAGTATTCAGTAGACATCCATTGGGGGAATGACTGAGGCTGCTTTTCTTCTCCCTGCATTGTTTCTTCCCTGGCAGCAAACCTTGAGATCCCCTTGATTCCTTTCCTCAGGCACTCACTTGATATCCAGCAATGGCAGGTCTTGATAGGGGAGGTTGAGAAAATGGGGCCTCTCAGTCCTGTTGCCTCTCTGGTGTCCATATATCTGGCGCATTCTGGGTGCTCGTTGTTGGACATTAGCACGATCTTCATCTGGTAGCCAAAGGATCTGTGGTTAAGGCAAAATGAGCATGAAGCTGAGAAAGACCTATGGATTCCAGGGACAAAGGTAGGCACAAAGAGGTTTGATCACAGAATGGGGTATGTGAACTGGGGTGGGGGCAGGAGGGAGCCTCAAAATCATCAAGGCCTATGGAAGACAGAGTGGGAAGAGGGGTAAAGGGGGGACCTTGAGAGGCCAGGGCAACATCACCATGGCTTGAGGCACGCTTGCACTCAACACAGTCTCCAATGTCTGATTCACAAAAGTGTCATAGTGTGTGTGGTTTCTTGGGGGTCGGCGCAAGTCAAACATGATGGAAAGGTTGAGGGCTGCTGCTTTCTTCAATAGCTCTTTTAATGCTGGTACTGTCTGATTCTTAGCCTCCTCCCGATCCAGGCCTGACAGCTCTTTGGCCTCCCAGAAGGGTTGCCTCTATAAGAAAGGAAAATCAAAGCCAGGTGTGGTGGCACACACCTCTAATCCCAGTACTTGGGAGGCAGAGGCAGGTGGATCTCTGTGAGTTCCAGGACAGCTGGGGCTACAGGGAGACCCCTGTCTCAAAAACAACAAAAAAGGGGCTGGAGAGATAACTCAGTGGTTAAGAGCACTGACTGCTCTTGCAGAGGACCTGGGTTTGATTCCCAGCACCCACATGGCAGCTAACAACCGTCCTAACTCCAGTTCCAGGGGATCTGATGCTCTCTTCTGACCTCCAGTGGCATTGCATGACATGGGTGCATGTACAGACATGCAGGCAATACAATTATACACAGAAAATAAAAATAAATAATTTTTAAAAAATATTTTTTATTTATTATTTTTTCCTGCAGTGCCTGCAGAGGACAGAAGAGGGTGTCAGATCCCCTGGAACTGGAGTTATGGACGGTTGGTAGCTGCCATGTGGGTGCTGGGAGATTCGAACCTGGGTCTTCTGCAGGAGCAGCCAGTGCTCTTAACTGCTGAGCCATCTCTCCAGCCCCCAGTTTCCCAACTTCTTTTTTCCTACTACACAGTCTCTTGAGTCTCACAGAGATCTCTGTGCTCTTGACCCTTTGGTTTCCTCCTGGTCCTTCAGCCCCTTTCTGACTGCACCTGTATTCATAACCACAGTCTCTCAGCTTGAATTACTTCCCACAGTACTTTCAAGAGATGACTCTCCTGCTTCACCTGTCCTACACCTCCCAAACTCTGATTCAGTCTTACAGTTGTCTGCCTCCTCCACCCCTAGAACTGGAGGCTGTGCATTGCCATGAGCAGACCACAGCTTGGGAACTATTGGCATTTTACTCCTTGTTTCTGCTCACTGTGGCTTGACAAAACTTTTACCTGCTCTTGACAGGCTTTTTCTCTCATTCCTGCTTGTAGTTGTTCCAAGCCTCTTCTCTCCTTAATTAACCTCCTCACCTAAGTGCTGACATGGATAAAGCTGGCTAACACTGTGAGTGTTTGCTATGTTTAGGTACTTCATGCGTGTGGACTGACAGTCTGTCCCATAATCCTTCAAGGTAAGTGCTATTATTATTATACCTGCTGTACGAATGAGGCAATGGAGGTACCGATTGTCTAAGGAATGTTGCCCAGAGTCATATAGCTAGCAAGTGCTGAAGTCACAGTTCAAATACAGTCTTTTTTCTTAATCACTTTGATTTGCCATCATACATAGAGTTAAATTTATAAAAGAAAAAGCTAATTGCAAGAGTCTATGTTGTGATCTTATTTTTGTAAAATAAATATATATGTGTATGTGTATGTGAATGTGTATGTGTGTATTGCCTGCATGTATGTAAGTGTATCCATGAATACAATGCCTATAGAAAACAGAAGTGGGTGCAGTGACTATTTCAGACAGGTTGAGTTATGGGAGACTCCAGTTCATAGATTATTTCTCTTATGTTTAATTTTTTTTTACAATGAACAAGTATGTTGTTGCTTTTTTGAATGTTTTTAATATTTCTTTTTATTTTTATTTCTGTGTCTGTGTGTATACACACGTGTGCCAGTGCCCATGGATTCCAGAAGAGGGCACTGGATCCCCAGGGCTGGAGTTAACAGGCAGTTGTGAGTCACCCAACATGGGTGCTGGGATCCAAACTCAGGCATGCTGCAAGAACAGCAAGTGCTCTTAACTGCTGAGCCGTCTTTCTAGCTTTTTGACATAGGGTCTCATTATGCAGCCCTGGCTGGCCTGGAACTCACCATGTAGACCAGGCTGGTCTCGAACTCAGAGATCTGCCTGTCTTCCAAGTGCTGGGATTAAAGATGTGCACCACCACGCCAAGTTTAGAGTGATTACTTTTGTAATCAGGAAAAGACATACTATAAAGCTAAAGTAGCTTTTAAAATACTTTTCATCATCTAGAGGGCTAAAGTCCACACTTCTGGGTAAAACATTCAAAATTCTTCAGGATTAAGCCTCTGTTTCCCATTACTCCCACAAATTGGATCTCCCATTTAAATTGAGCCTCTTTTTGTCCTCTCCCCAGGAGAAGTATTTTTATTGCTCTGTTTCCTATTCAACTTGTCTTTTGAGTAGGCTCTCTTCCTTACTATGTGGGAGTGACACGAGGGCAGAGACTATGTTCTTATTGGCCACCACAGGGTTCAGCAAGGGCATATTGCTGGAAGGAACTCTGCCCTGAGTGCTGCTGCCAGTGGTGACCTCTTCCCAGCTGGTATCCTCACCTCTAGGAACCAGGATCCAGCATTGAGTCTCTGCAGTTCAGCCCAGGAGAAGTCACTGCTGTGGGCTGTGATTCGCTCTGGAAACACAGAGGCTACATCCGTGGTCCTGCTCAGCCGCTCATCATGCATAAGAAAGGGGACTCCATCGGAGCTGAGGGCACAAGAAGCATCAGCATCCAAGTTCTGGGGTTGCTTGTCTTTTTCTGAGTGTTTCCGCTGTGTCCCTCAACCCCCTAGGCCTTTGGGCCCCACCCTCTATCACCTGACCATCACATCCGTCTCAAATACAGTAGCTCCACATTCAGCTGTCTTCCGCAAGGACATCAGGGTGTTCTCCGGGGCCAGCTAGGAAAGGGAGTTGGTGAGGAGGCAGCAGAGATGGTGGGGAGCCTGGAAACCCACAGGCCTAGGGGAGCAGACCCTCTCCTACTTGCCTAGCCTTCTGCCCATCACTCACCATGGGGGCTCCTCGGTGTCCCACCAGCCCAGGTTTTGGGGGTAAGTCTCTGAGTTCCATGATGCAGGGTGAGGAGATGCATAGGGGGGCCAGGTAAACAAGCAGGGTGATTCCAAAAAATAGGACCAGTAGCAGAATCTTGGGACCTGTAGAGTGTTGGGGACAGGCATTGGGGAAAATGGCACCAGGGAAGGGGAAGTTCTAGGGGCTGAAGGCAGAGCTCAGATGCAGGAAATTGGATGAGAAGTGGGAGGCAGAGGCACTGGTGGCCAGTGATGGGGAGTAGGGGTGGAGTTAGCACCTCTTGGATAGATGCGGTAGAAGGTATCAGCCACGGGCCAGGCCAGGAAGGTGATTCCAGCGACTGCTCCAATGTGAAGGAATGGGGCTGTGGCCTGTGGACGAGAGCTGGTAAGGAGGGCTTTTCTTCCTATTGTCCCTCCCTCTTCTCCTCTTAGGGAATGACTTTGGAGTTCAGAGCTACCTGCAGTCTTGTGGGACCAAGAGCAATATAATGTTCCAGAATTGGTCATGGGCCAAGGCTCCCACTTAGACACTGGAGATCAGACACTCACCTGCAGTGACAAATGTAAACTACACCACTCCTGCTGCCATTGGATGTCCAGTCCCACAAGGCCAGTGGCCACAAGAAGTATAATGAGGAGCAGCAGCACCTGGAGGCCAGGGATGGATGGGTTCTTCTTTGTCAGCCTAGGCTCATGGCTACCTGAGCTACCCCTCATTCTGTTGACATAGATTTCTTTCCTTCCCTGGACACATCCATTATCCTTTCACCCAACAAATATTTACTGGATTTCAGGTCCTAAGCTGAATCCCAAGGATAGAAAAGTGAAGTCCTCAGGAAATAGCCAATGGAGAATTGGACCCAGTTCCCCCTCCTCCTCATTGCCCTCCTTTGTACCTTGTGGAGACTGTGCAGGTGCAGAGGCTGTCCACAGAGCTGCAGGAGCAGGGCCAGGAGCTGGGAGCAGAAGGTAGGGGCACTTAGGAGGCTCCAGGAGAAGGCAAGTTTGCTTAGGGGGGCTTTGCAGGCTGGCATCTCTTTCTCACACCAAAATTACCCTCCCCTTTCAGTGGCTAGGATGACAACAAGGGGGAAAGAACAGGAAGAAGGGCTGAGGTGGGTTAGGTGGACTATCTCTGGACCCACCAATAGCAGGGATGCATAGGTGACCAACAGAGAGATGACCAGCAGGAATACCAAGGACCAGTCCATCCAATGTCCCCAGTGGTGGAACAGGAATCTGAGAAGAGAGGAAGGTTTTCAAGTCAGGCAGTGACCTGAGGGGAGTTCAGGTGGGTAGATCCAGGAAAATAACTAGATGGGATGGAGGGAAAAATGCTTCATGGGGCCAAGGTCTCCAGGGATTGGAGGGATTTTCTAAGGAGGTTGGGTAAAGGGAGAGATGGGCTTGAGGGGTTGGGTAGGGCTGGGGATGACTCCAGGGTGGGGGTGGGGGGTAGAGGGGCAGGAGCACACAGGTGTTCTAGAGTAGGGAGTAGGTTGACAGGTATTCTGAGGAAGGGGTGGGGAGTCATGACACACTCATTGAAGTTGTGCAGGTCATTGAGAAGGATGAGCCCGATGTACAGCCAGCCAAGGGACAGGAGGAAGGTGAGGAAGAGCAGGGCAAACCAGATACAGTCACACTGCAAAGGGGCAGGAGAGAAGCTCTCAGCCGATCCCCACTTCATGTTCAAGAGCCCCAGTGATGCACTGGGCTGCTCTGTCCTGGGCAACTCTTCCTATATTTGAGGAAGACTTTCTTCCTGGGGAGAGAAAACCCTTCCTCCCAGCTGCCTATGAGCACAATTGGCCTCCATATTCCCTGCAGTCAGCCTTTGCCTTCTGACTCCCCCCCCCCCCCCCCCGCCACATTCCCACTCCACCTTGCTGGTTTGCATCCTCTCATTGGGGCATTTCCTCCAGTGGCAGCTATACAGGCAGTGGAGACAGCGAGCCCAGGCAGAGCAGCAGCCAGGAGACTCGGCCATGGTGAAGGCCTGAGGGAAGGGACACTCAGTCATCAGGGACCCTGATAGAAGGCAGATCCCAGCCTCCCTTCCCATGCGTCTGGGGCTGATGCAGGGGTAGGAACCTGGGGTGCTGTTTAGCAAGGAGTGTTGTCACAGGCCAGGCCCAGAGTTTTGGATTAGATGAGGTGAACTGCCCTGGCTCCAAGCCTCATTAAGAGGCACAGTGTCTGGAAACTTGCATTTCCCTTTATTTTTGATACCTGGGAAGTCAGTGGGATATCCAGGAGGTTCGCCTTTTTGCAGGCAGAATGTGTACCCACTCTCACCAGCTCCTTCCTATTTAACAGCATCCAGATCTGGGTTTGGAATGCTTGCTCAGAGTAACTTAGGAGAAATTGCCCCAGGGTGGGGCAAACTCTGTTCTGCAAGTTAAAGCAGATCTGGCAAAGCTTGAGGCAGCCCTATGCAGCCTTCCACCCCAGGAAGCAGGAGTAACCTGAAGCAGAGGTTCCTGCTCTGACCCTGGGCTAAGGAAGGCACAGCCAGTTGACTAGTTGCCATGGATACAGAGATTGTACTAACCACAAAGCCCTGCCTGAAACATTCAATGTGTCTACTTCCCAGGGGGCAAGGGGCACTGGCAATAAGAGGAGGACTTGAGAGGAGCAGGTTGCCTGGGTCACTCACCCGTTCCTAGCCTAAAGGAACCTCTTTCCTACCTGTACAGTCTAGGAAATCTACGTCCTCCCAACGTAGCCTTGCCCTTTCCTGCCCAGTCATCCTGCAGACCACCCCCCCGCGACCCGCTCCAACCAGAAACCCAGCTCCTGTCTTCCCCCTCTCAGGGGCCCCACCCTCTGAATTAGCTTTAGTGAAAGTACAATAGGCACGGGGGGCAAAGGTGTGCGAGTGTGTGTGTGGGGTGTGGTTGTCTTGGGGCAGGGGATTCTGGTGTGTCTGGCTGAGACCAAGCGGATCCCTAAATTGGGCTGGGCCTGTGAATGTGATTCTATATGAGACGGTGTGGGATTCCTAGCAGGTGAGACTTCTACTATTGAAACAGCCAATGTAAACGGGGTGTGATTGTGTGATTTGTGTTGGTATAGGGACAAATGTGTGCACTAGTGGCTGCCAGTACACATGGGTTTCAAGATGACTGAATAGGTAAAGGAGTCCCCCTCCGGTGGGGTGTGCGTGTGTATACAGCGGGATAGGGCCCCTTGTCCAGGCTTCTCTGAAGTTATGAAGTCTTAAGGGGTGCTCAATGGCTGGGCTCCTACAAGGAGGAAAGGTGTGGCTAGTCCTGAAACTGCCCCTTACTCTAAGCTCCCCTTGGGAAAGGAGGGCTGGGCAACGGAGTGGAGTATGTGGGAGGGCGCCGAGCTGGGGTAAGAAACTTTCACTCTGAACCCCTTCCCAGGAGACTGAAGTCAACCCAAAAGGAGGGCCCTGCTTCTCCCTCACTCCCAACTGGGTTGCAGTAGCCTGTCCTGGGCACCAATTCACACATTTTGCCTTCTCCAGGCTGTACCCTGGCACCTCAGACTGCCTTCTAGGGTCCTACCTCCCTTCAGGAGCTAACTGGAGGATGGAATTAGGATCTAGAGAGCCTGAAAAACCCCAAGAAGGAGGTCTGACAGGAGTGGTACCCACCCCCTGGGACCAATACCTGCCTGCTGGATCCGCTCTTCACGCCCCTCTACCCAGTTCCCACCCGTGGTCCCCAGCCTTCCCGAGCCCTCACACCTTTACTCAGCGCAGTTCTGCTTCCCAGCTCCTCTCCGAGTTGTCTGCCTCCTCCCTCTCCCAGTCCTTGGCTCAGCCTCACCGGTCAAACAGGTGTCACTGTTGCCACCTACAGGAAGATCTGTGGGTCCACTCCGAAGGCCTGCCGCGGCTCTAAGGGCCTGAGCCCAGCCATGGTGGGAAGTTGGGAGGGAGCAAGTGGGAGGGAGAGCAGATTTGCTTCTTTTCTCGCCAGTGCTGGCGGTCAGGGGGCTTGGGGTGAGGAATTCCTTTGTGCAGCCTTCCCCATGCCTCTGTCCCTCCTCCAGTTCCCCTCCCAGCCACTGCCAGAGGCTTTGTCCTGGCTCTGGGAGGCGAGGGCTGAGGGCATAGACAGGGGGGAAGCTGGGGGGAGGTGACCACACAACTTTGCAACTTGGCAGTGAGAAGAAGGGGCCCTGCCAGTACCCTGGAAACGCTTGTGCATATATGAGGAAGTCTAGTCTCAAGCACCCTGGGAGGACAGCTTCCAGTCATTAGCTTCCCTTTCCCCTTGGGCTATTTCCACTTTTGCAAGGTCCATCTGTGAATGACTTTCTGAACACTGGGCAGCAAATTGCCCTGTTTCTGGACCAGGGGTCCCTATGGATCTTGTGGATGCTGAGTGACAGCCCTCCCTCTTCCTCTCCCCCACTGCCATAAGATGTTCATTCAGGACATCATTCTCACAGCCTTGTTCAAGGGCCATCTCAGTCTGTTCAAAAATCGTTTCAGGACTGTACAGTGTGTTGGGGCTCCAGACTTTTAGAAGATGAACATGTATGTACAAGAGATAGTTACTCCATCAGCAGCAGGAGTAGATCTAGGAAGCTGTAGTCAGCTTACTGTACAAAGCAGTTTCCTGTGATCTGGGAGAGGCTTGATGGGCAGCCCCTTCTGCATGTGGCTGATGCAGTGACTTGGGGTCTTGGGGGCTAGCTAGCAGAGTGTTGTTGGGAAAAGATGACTGATTAGGCTCTCCCTTCCCCCTCCACACACTAGATTTCACCAGTGAGAAGACTGGCTCTCTGCTGCCAGAAGCTGGTCCCTCCCTCTCGGCTTTCCCATTGTATCCAGAGGCTCTAGTTGGCAATCACAGAGGCTCCTTTGCTCCCTTTGAATTAAAATGCAAAGAGAAGCAGGGCTGCTTGCTGGCAGGAGGCCAGGGAGGTCCAGTGGGTCACCTCATCCTCCACTGGAGTCATTCTAGGTTGTTTTGTCAATTTCCTTTGCTTGGGTTGTGGTGAATTCTAATCTTGGCTTTCTTATATGTGGGGATGGTTTGACAGCTTTGTAGAGGATTCAGCATGCATGAATTTGAATCTCAGAGCTTGCAATCTCCCAGCTGGCTACACATCTAGTTTGCATGTGGCACTACAGAGCAGGGCCCCTTCTAGCTTTTGAACAGATAGAGAAACCAGATGCACAGTAAGGAGTAAGACTTGTCCCTCCTCTTCCTTTTCAAAGGTGAAAGCAAGGAGTCAGTACTGTTTTGTTCTCTGAGTGAAAAGTAGTGTGGTTCCATACCCATTAATCAGACTACAGGGCATTAGGAAGAATCATGTATTAAACATATATTGGATTCTATTCCTAGTTCTATTACTCAATAACTTTGCGAGTCTACATAAGTACTTAACTTTTTTGTACCTCAGTACTGTCTATACTTTGGCTCTTCAATGTCCCTTAAGGGCCCGTGTGTTAAAGGCTTGTTCCCTAGCCTGTGGTGCCATTTGGGAAACTGGAAACTTTAAGAGCTGAATTCTGGTGGAAAGTCTTCAGTTTACTGGAGGGTATGCATTTGAAGGTGATAATGGGACCTAGCTTGTGTCATTTTTTTTTTCCATCCTGGTCACGAGGTGAGCAGTTCTGCTCCATCTTGTGTGACTGCCATATGATATGCTACCTTACTACAAGTCCCAAAGCAATAGGGCCAACTGACCATGGCCTAGAACCTTCAAAACTATGTGCCCAGATACGCCTATTCTTTTCATGGGTTGATCATCTCAGGTATTTGTTAACAGTGTGGTAAAGGTAACACTCCATCACCATGTGTAAAGTGCAGACTCCTATCCACTGTAAGCATTTTTTTCATGAGAAGCAAATAACACGGCAATAATGTGGGGATGGTGATGCTATTAAATGTAGTTCCTTCTTCTCAAACCTGGAGGTTAGGCCATTAGCTTTCCCAGCACTATTCCCATCACCTAGGGCAGCACAACATCCAAGATGCAACATTATGCTCTATACCATCCTCTGGGAAAGAGGGTAGCTACACAAAGGTAATAAGCCAGGGTGGGGTATAGGACGGTGACAGTGTTTGCCTAGGATGGTCAGGGCCCTGGGCTCAATTCCCAACCCTATTATAAAAAACCTAGACAGTCTTCCTAGAAAAAGGAAGCCAGAATTGGAGGAGTTGGGGCTGCTCAGGGAGTTATAATGGATCTCCTCAGTAGCTTTCCCAGGGGCTAAGGAAAACATATTGAAATCTTATTTCTTCCTCTAGCATAGAAGGCTCTCCCCAAACAGTAGATGAGCTAAGGTTTATTTATTTACTTAACAATTAAAAATCTTTCATCCACTTCAGTAACATGACAGACAATTAAGGATTCTGTTAAAATCCATTCAAGAAATGGAGCAACAAAGTTCCCAGCCCCATTCACGAGGTGGGGTGAGGGAGTTGAGTCAAGCCTCTATTCTTCACCAGGCTCCTCCATTATGCTGACCTTGACAGAGGAATACCTTGGCCTCAGCTTTATAAGATGACTCAACTACTCACAAGCAAGAGCTAGACTGTACTGGGGATAGGTTCCTCATGAGTCATCAGGAAGTTCAGTTGGTTTTCTCTTCAGTAGGCGGCTCAGCACCTTCTGGAGAAGAAAAAACAGTTGATTGGAGTTGGTGGGCCTGGACACTAGGGCCAACACTCAGTGAAAGTCCACTTCCTTTCAGTGACACATTGGTTCCTTTCCTCAATAGCAAGTCCTGAAATCTACAGAAGTCATTGAAACTTCCTCTGTGCTGTACCCTGAAAGTGTGTCCAGGGCAGACAGAAGGTAAACGGTGACCACTTCAATGGGACTCTTCTTGAATAGGAGAGCAGCCTGAGAAGAAGCTGGTATTGCTTGCTAGAGCTCGCTTCTTTTTCTTCCCGGGGGCCTTATTTTCTTGTGATTCTGTTGCTGTATGCTTCAGCTCTGGATGGTTAAAGGGAGGAGCCAAAGCAGTCTTCCTTAACAGCACCTGATCTGCATCACACATCTCTTTTAGGATCTAGAAAGGACAGAGACAGGTATGAATAGACCGGCCCACTTGAGCCACTAGAAAGGCTCTACACTTCCCAAATATGTGGAATACCCTAAAACTGCTCTATTAAATAAAACACTGTAGCCTATACCCAAAACCCAGTCTCTAGCAATTTGATTATGCCTTTCCCCACCCCCTTTCTTTCACAGTCTTCTCTCAAAGATAATGCAGAGAGGGATGTGAACAGCTTTCAGTGACTCCATTTAGCCCACCTACCTTGCTACTGGGAGTGGTGCAGACAGGGTTGAAGAAGCTTGATCCTGAGGTCACCTCTGTGGGATCCTCCAGTTTGAAGGAGCTTTCAGAATCCTGGGTCCGCTCGATAGCACCCAAGCTATCCTAAAAATCAGGCAGATGGATTTATTATAAATTTAGCTACCAGCGTTGCAAAATCAATCTGTTTCTCTTAAACCAGGGGGGTCTAGGGGACTAATGAGTCAACCAGTAAAACTAAGCTTAAGGGAACTACTGCTTAGAGAAGTCATAGGGCTTAACATGCTCTGTCCCTAAAGGGATGAAGCTAGGCTAAAGAGGTAGCCTCTGAAGGCCTAGGTCTGAGGATAGTGGGTGGCATGGGACATAATCATGAGGCAAACTTTAATATTAGGCCAAGCTGGGTGTGGTAATGCATACCTGTAATCCCAGAAGTGGGGAGGCTGAGGCAGAAGGATAACAGTTTGAGCTTAGCCTGGGCTACTTAGCAAGACCTAGTCTCAAAGAAAAACAAATAATTAAAAAAAAAAACAATAAAATTAGGCCAAGACTTGGTTATTTCCTTGATTAACCTCCCCTCCCTATAATTTTTAAAAAAAAATTATCTATTATTCTTTATTTTATGTGTATGTGTGTTTTGCCTGAATGTAAGTACCTGTGTTGTGCAATTCCTTTTCATGCAGCAGCTACATGAATCTCAAATGAAAAACCATGAGAACAGGGGCCCTTTAGAGGTCCCTGCTACATCTATAACTTTTAGTCTGACCTCTAGCTTGCCACTTTAGTCCTCTGATGCTTACTTATCTGTGATTTTTAAAAATTTTAAATTGTTTTTATTATATGTGAATGTATGTAAGTGCACCCATGTCATGCAATGCCGTGGGGGTCAGAAGAGGGCATCAGAGTCCCCTGGAACTGGAGTTACGGATAGCTGATAGATGCCATGTGGGTGCTGGGACTAGAACCCAGGTCCTCTACAAGGGCAGACAGTGTTCTTAACTGCCAAGCCATCTCTCCAGTCCCCAGAAGTCTTTATTTTTTTAATTAAAAAATATTTTATTTATTTTTATGTGCTATGCGTGTATTGCCTGCATGTAGGTAAGTGCACCCGTGTCATGAAATGCCCGCAGAGGACAGAAGAGGCTATTGGAGCCCCTGGAACTGGAGTTACAGACAGTTGTTAGCTGCCATGTGGGTACTGGGATTCAAACCTGGGTCTTCTGCAAGAACAGCCAGTGTTCTTAACTGCTGAGGCCATCTCTCCAGCCCCCCAGAAGTCTTTTAAATAAAAGACCAAGGCTGAAACATTATATAAATGTTCAAGAAATACATGATGAATGACCATTGCATCACACTTACTAGAATTCTTGTATTATATGTAGAGAGCTAAACAATGACTTTTTGTCCCAGGAACAGATAGGTATAAGGCTCTCTGGGATGTAACCTGCTTGCTGGTATTCTTTTGAGGGCACATTTTGTTTCTCTGAGTTTGCTCTTCCTGAGCAACATAAAGACAGCTATAGTTAACTTGGCTCACCGCAGTGACTATTAGTCTTGGTTCCTGTGGTTCTTTTCCTAGAACCATGGAATGGCTGGTTCCCGTGGAGAGGGTCTAATAACTAACATCTCAAGATGTCAGAAGGATTAACTTCCTTCCTGGAAGTTGCCATCTCAGCACGTGGCTCTCTCAGTTCCAGCTAAGCCTTTGGGCTAGTTTGATCCTGCATGTCTATCTACTTGTAAATTCTTGCTTTTCTGTTCTTTGCTTCTGTTTCAGAAATCAAACAGAAGCTTTTCAGCCAA